TATTGATAATGATTATATATTTGGAGAACTGGAATAATTGTCCAACTGACCTTCCCTGACTCCATTCTTTTTTTTTTTTTTAAAGATTTATTTACTTATACAGAACTGGAGTATAAGCCAGAGATGCAGGGGAGGTGAGAGGATTCACCAGAGACAGAGTGGGGAGCAGAACAGGCAGATCATGAAATACACTGCTAAGAGGAGCAGTGGGAGGGACAGAAGAGGTCTGCTGTGCCATGTGGGGCACCTCTGGGGTTGGGGATCAAACTCAAGGGCTGCACGCCGGCAGTGCTGTTCTTTAATGCACCAGACCACCAGGGAGGACCCTTAACTCTATTCTTATTCCTTTCAATTTCTTCTCTACATTGCTGTAACAGTGATCTTTTCTAAAGTATAGAAATGATCATGAATTTCCCTATATAAAATGCTATGATCCCTCCAATTGTTTCGTAGTGAGGTTATGGTTAAAGTGTCATATAATAAAAATCTATTCTTATCAAACACTATTTCATCTCTTTTTATAGTCCTCTTGTATATAAATTTGAAGATTTTTAAATTCCTGGATTGGGAATGGAACCTAGATATGGTTGTTTTAAAATATGTCCAGAAAAGTTTTAACACTCCTTTCTTTCTTTTTTTATAAGTATAATAGTTTATTTTTACATCATTTTGTGCACTTTTTTTTCATCTCAATTGTAATCCCCATGGATTATATCACCGAGTCACCCATGTGCCATCACCATAGTCCCGTGCACTTCCCTCCCCCCACTTTGATCCCATTCCCCACTCTACCCCCACAAAATGTCTCTGGTATATCACTGTTCGTTAGTCTTATTATTTTCTCGCCTGGCCAATTATACGTCTGCTATGAGTGAAACCATCCGGTATTTTTCTTTTTCTTTCTGGCTTATCTCACTAAGCATGATCTTTTCTAACTCCAAGTCGCTGCAAAAGACATGTGTTCCTTTTTTTTTGGTTGCTGAGTAATATTCTATTGTATATATGTACCACATCTTTTTAATCCAGTCATCTACTTGTGGGCATTTGGGCTGCTTCCATGTTTTTCCAATTGTAAATAAAGCAGCAATAAACATGGGGGTGCAGGTATCTTTTTGAATCAGTGTTTTTGTGTCTTTTGGGTAGATACCTAGGAGTAACAATCCTCCTTTCTAATTGTAGAGACTGATTCTTCTCCCCTTGTATATGGTCTGGATTTAATGATGAGGCTTTAATTAGTTACCCTCCTCCCCAGCCCAATGCAACCATTAATCCACTTTCTGTCTTTAGATGTGCTATTTCCAGATCCCTCATATAAATGGACTCATATATATGGTTTACTGTGATTAGCATCTTTCCCTTAGAATAATGTTTTCAAAGTTAATTTATAGTGTTCCATGTATCAGTACTTCATTTCCTTTTATTATTGAATAACATTTTATTATGTGGCTATGCCATTTCTTATTTATTCATTCATTAACTTCTAAATATTGTGGTGTTTTAACTTTCAAGCTATTATGAATAATGCTACCATGTGCATTTGTAAACAAGTTGCTATATATGTCTTCATATCTTGAATCGAGTAAAATTTCTAGGTCATATGATAAATCTATGCAACATTTTGGAAAACCATTAAATTGTTTACCAGAGGAACCACACTTTTTCTATTAGCAAAACATGAAGGTTCCAAGTTTTCTACATTACCACTGACATTATTTAAATTAATGTTTACAGACATGAATGGATATGATATGATGTATCTCATGACACTGATTTGCATTTTTCTGATGTCTAGTGATGTTAAGCATCTTTCATGTCTTTATTGTTTAAGTCTTTAATATGTATCTTCTGTAAAATACTTACCCTTTATAATATTTAAAATTGATTATTTTTTTTAAGATTTATTTATTTATGCTTACAGAATTTGGGTATAGGCCTGAGGTGTGGTAGGTGAAAGGATTCACCAGAGAGAGTGGGGAGCAGAACAGGCAGATTTACTGAAATACACTGCTGAGGGGAGCAGGAGGCAGGTCAGGAGAGGTCTGCCAAGCCATGTGGGTCAGCTCCCTGGCCGGGAATCGAACTCGTGCTGCAGTGGCTTTCGAGAGCTTCATAATGCAGTGCTTTAACCCAATGCACCACTAGGGAGAGCCCTATTCTTGTTTTTACTATGAGTAAAGAACTCTATATACTTTAGGCACAATTCCTTATGACATATGTGATTTTCAAATATTTTCTTCCACATTACAGTTGTTTTTTCACTTTTTATTAGTATCCTTCAAATCACCAAACATTTTTAGTTAGATGACATTCAGTTTGTTCATTTTTAATGTTGACTCTTGTGCTCTTGGTGTCATTTATAAGAAATGTTTGGCTAATGCAAAGTCATGAAGATTCAGTCCTATTTTTTTCTGCCAAGAGATTCATAGTTTTAATTCATACATTTAGGTTTCTGATTTATTTTGAGTGAGTTGTTATGTATACTATAAGTGAGACCCAACTATATCACATATGATAAACTCTACTAATCATGATATAGGTCTGGCCCTGTTATATATAGGAATTTGTGATTTCTTAATATTGTCCTTTACAATGTAAATTAAATCTTTCTTAGATTCCTACCAATATTGCAACTCTTTTAGCTGTTAGTTGGAGTTAATGTAACAAAGTTCTGAGAGCCCCCTTTGGATCCTTGAAGAAGTGTCAAGAGTCCATAGATGAGCTGTAGCCTTTGAGGGACTAGAAGCATATTAAAATTCTTCTGGAGGTTCTTTCTTGATAGAAAGGAGGAGCAAACTGAAACAACTGGGTACAATAACTTTTTTATATGTAAGATCACTTTGCAGTGAAGGAGAGCCCAGTTCTAAGAGAGAATAAAGGAGGGAAGTGCTGGACCACAGTTATTAGTAATTTACTGCTTGGGTCTTCTTGGGAGAAGAAGAGATTGAAAAAGAAAATAGATATTACAAGAATATTGATGGGTATTATGAAAAAAAAATGTTGAGCCAATGACTTACCATGAATGACATAAATATTCCAACTATGCATACACGTGTTAGTTTCTTTGGGGGCTGGAACTTGTGAAAATACTTGACTGTGGGGAAAAAAAACAAAACTGGTGTCTATTTCAGTCTTTTTCTTTACACTGACTTTTAGAACTTTATTTGTATTTCTGAAACACTATTATCTTAGAGATCTTAAGACAACTTTGTAGAATTTAATGTTCTCTACAATTAATTTTCTTTCTGAAACACAAGAACTCTCCATCCCCTTCTATAGTGATAGATTCCATTAAAAGGTTACTCTAAACCACAAAAAATCTAAAGCTGCATTTGAAATATAAGTATATGTTTGGGCTTTGGTGATGCATTTCAGTAATCCTGTACCTAAGAAGCAAAAGTAGCAAGTACGTGATTCACAAAATAAATGAAGGCTATTGGACTAAATATGATTATATATTATTATATATTATTATGTACTTAGCCTCTGTTTCTTTATAATCAGTTATTTTTAGAAATCAATAGGTCTACTTAGTAGTAGTAATTAATTTTTGATTGATTTCACTGTTATGATGTCTGGTGGAATAAAAAATTTAGACTATATTAGGTGAATATATTACACCTCTATGAAGTTATTAAGTATATCTAATAAAATTATGTACTTATTTATTCATTTGTATTCTTTCTCCTAGGTTACTTATTAACATTTGATATGTAGAGCAAGTAAAACAGTATCACACATATCTAGACTCATTATAATTCAGGAAGTGCTTAATTTGATTCCTTCTGTAGAGTTAAAACATAATTTTTATAATTCTCACAAATATCCTTTCCCACATCCTTTACAAGTATATCACAAGCATCTTCCTGTCTTCAATATACATTTGGCCACTCTATCCCTACATAACCAATCACAGATGATTGTTGGCACCTATGATGTTCCTATTGATCAAACAGTCTTTTATAAAAAAAGAATAAAAAAACCATAAAATAGCAAGTCCTGTTGGCTACAAACACCACCCACAACACTGGGTAACAAGTAATGCCTTGGCGCTATCTTCTTTCACCCAGTCCATGTGCCCTTCTTCCAGCTACCAACAGAGATGCATTTCACTTCTATAGTCAAAAGAAAACCAGCCCAAAAGGAGGCACGTAATTTAAGCCACCAAAACATAATTCCTCACTTAACTGTGGCTTCAACCTACCCCACAAATGTAGTCTTTAACTACAATGTGGAAATTTTCTGATCAGTACTTAACGGAAGAAGAAGTAAACTACAAAATCGAGTTTCCAGTGTCCATAGGTAGGTTACCTAGGTCTCAAATAATCCCCTCTTCCTTGCCCTTTTTCTGCCTACAAAAACCTTTCGTTCTTGTTCTGCTTTGCGGAACTCTCTTCTACGTGTGAGATGGTATGCTGCCCATTCACGGTTTAATGAATTCGACTCTGAGAACGGAGGTGGTTGTACTTTTGCTATAACATCGAACGCAACATTCCCTGTGAACCCAGAGATCTTTGTCCATCTACAACGTAAACTCCAGGGTATGAGAAGAGGTAGACTCCCATCATCCGGGTCAGGCAGTTCCCACAGGTTTCTCTAACAAGTTCCTTCTGTCTTTGGGATGTTTCTCTTTAAGGCTGGAAGGGCTAGGAAAAGCCTCCACTGGAAGGTGAGCCTACTCTTACTGGAACAAGATGCACACAAAGCTCCACAGAAATACTGGACAGCGACCTCTCCTAGGAGCTAGGAGTCCTGGGTTCTTGACCGCCTCCTTTCCTCCTCAGGCCGCGTTCTTTCCCAGACTTCCGTCCGAACTTCCCGCCAGGGCAGATCCCACCAATCACAAGCGTCCTTGCCGGGGCCACGCCCCCCGGCCCCCTGAGGGAACGCCTTTCGGCTTTCGCACACACCCCACCTTCGCTTACGCACGCTGCGTGAGGACGTCGGTCTCGACGCCGTCGTCGCCCCGGAGCTGACTCCCGCGGGGGCCACTCCAGCCGACAGTTGGGCGGCCTAGCGAAGTCCCTCCCTCAGGACCTCCCCACCCCACCCCCTCGGAACCGCTCCCTCGCGGCGACCCATGTGGGGGTTCAGGCTCCTGCGGTCGCCGCCGCTGCTGCTACTGCTGCCGCACCTCAGAATCGTAATTGCCGCGTCCTGCTCTCAGGCCGGAGTCATGAACCTGGACGGCAGCGGCGGTGCTCAGTGCTCCCCCTCGACCGACGGGCGCCGGTCGCGGTGCCTGAAGCTGTCCGCAGTGCCGGGGGCCGACCCGCAGCGCAGCAACGATTTGCTCCTGCTGGCGGCGACTGGGGAGGGACCCGAGCGGCGGGACCTCCCTGGGGGCCGGGTGAAGGAGGAGCCGCAGCCGCCACCCCAGCATCACGTTCTCTATTTCCCCGGGGACGTGCAGGTAACCTGGGGCCGGCCTGGCACCTGTTCCTTCCTCCTGTGCCTGTGGGTGTTCCTGGAGTCCCTGTAGCTGGCGCCCGGCTCCTCGCCTCGCTTGAACACACCCACACGCGCTCACGGGGGTGGCGATTCCGTTGTTCCGCGAAATCCCAAACCGCCCCTTGCACACCCTTGACCCCCTTCGTCATGGGGCGCCAGAGGCATGGTGTCCTTGGAGGGTTACGACCTCGCAAGAGTCAGTTCCCCGTCCAGGCGTCAAGGGAGTGGATTTTGAGACGCAGGAAGACTGACACAAAACGTGCATTTTTTCCCCCTATAGCTTGGTTTCTCAGGAAAAGAAGAAAAGAGGGGAGCAGAAAGGGGGGACAAGGGAGGTTTTTAAATTAGCACGTAGTGTTAAGTCCCTGCCAGAAACGCTGGCAGTCATTTAAAAAGCAAGCAAGTTAACAAAAATCACTATAAGGGTTTGACACTTCGTAACCCCAAGAAAGGAAGAGGGGATGGAAGAAAAGGGAGGGTGTTTATTAAGCATGTCAGTTTTCTGATACACATCTAAGTTCTGTACTGTTGTGTGTGTGCTTTTAGCATTATTAATTTTATAACTGCTGGCAAATACCTATAGATGTGTTCTCGTGGAAAAACTTATCTTAATCAAAAACTGACAGGTAACCATTAGCTGTCTGTGGCCATTGAAGTTAGAATTAAGTAAAATTTAATAGAATTAAAAAGCCAGTCCGCAGTGGCACTAGCTGCATTTCAAGTGCTAGTAGCTTTGTCAGGTTTGTGTGTACGGTAGTAGACAAACACAGAAGGTTTTCATCTTTATAGAAGGTTCTTTTAGATAGCGCCAGTGTAAACAGGTGAAGTTAGAATACAGCTAGCTGCTTTTCTTAAACCATGAAGTAGCAGTTTATTGATATTGATGCCTTTTCTGTTTATGCCCTTTTGTGAACATTTTTAAAAATGGCCTGGCATTGCCCATAGTGATTTCAGAGATTTGTGGGTCGGCTACTGTGTGCACCTACAGTAATGATGATGATAGTGACAACTAGCTTTTCTTGATAAAGTGTGCCAGCCAGATTATAGCACCAGTCTTCAGATGAGTTCTAAAAAGAGTGCCAATACAGTTAGCGTAATAGCGCTTCTTATTTGACGTCCACTTCTTTATGTAGTCTGAAATTCCATTAGCTTTTTGGACAGCGATACACTTGATTTTTGCAGAGTATGCTCTAAAACTTAGCTCCTTTAGAGAAGAGATACTGTACAATGCATCACATAGCTTTGAGGCCAGATTTCCAAGTTAAGCCCTGATTCTGCACTTTTTAAGCCATGACATCTCAAGGCAACTGTTAAATCTTTCTGTATTACAGCTACCTCAGCTATAAAATTGGAATAATCACTTACAGGGTGTCAATGAGGATTAAATATGTGAACACCAATGACTTAGAATCCCTTCTTATTTTTCTGGTTACATTTTTAATTATTGGAGTACCTTGGCACTCAGTTCTTGAACTTTTCCTCTACCTTGTTTTACTCCCTTAATGTTCTCAGTCTTGAGGTTTATATAATATCTGCACTCTGATAACCCTCTACATCTGTGTCTGTCTTAGACATTCTCCTGAAACTAGGTGAACCAATTTCATGTGTGCTGTTTCCTTTTGGATTTTTTATATTGCAAACCTAAAAGTCTTTGGTTTTTAGCCCCTTTAAGGCCTGTTCTTTCCATAGTTTTCTTCATCTGTTAATGGAAACTAGTCCTTTTTAACTGCTTGAGTTAGAAGCCTTGACTGTAACTTTAGTTGTCCTCTTTTGCATACCTCATCTCAGTCAATAATGTGACTTTTAAATGTATCTAGAGGTGATTATATTTTAAAATGCACATCAAATCATGCCACACTTCTCAAAACTCGATAGCTTCCGTGTCATTCAGATTAAGAGCCAGAGTCTCTTAGCAGCCTACCTGTGTCTTAACTTTTCCACTCTTACTTTCCTGTACCCTGTTCTGTGTTAATTTGTGCTGGCCACGCCAACTTCATGGTAAAAGCTTTCCAAATACTGCTTGGATCAGTCTTCCTGCCAGTTAGGGTTCATTACCTAATCTGTTTCAAATCTTTACTCAAAAGTTGCTTCATATGAGTGCTGGCACATAGTAGGTGTTTGAAGATAATTTGTCTAATGAATGAATATACATATAAGTTGCTTTGGATATTACATAAAGTACTTGATAAGTCTTGACTGCTATTAATGAAATGATTTTAGACTCATTTCTTCTGTATCTTATGCTTCTTTTGAGCATAATGTTTATCCTTTTGAAAGCAAACCTGTATGATACAGTGTATTGAGCCTTTTGGAACCCTTATTTAGGTATTACATATTGATTCATAAGCATTTTAATATCTTTTATATTCCATGTGGATAAATATTGAATGGAGTCCAACAGAACTTTGGAGAGTTCCATTAGAACTCTCCAAATTAGACCTAATTGTCTATGTAATTTTAAATCCAAATTGCCATTACTCTCCTGATGTTCTTTTTGTACTCGTCTTTTGTTCTGTCTTTTTTAATTCTGGGCTTGTGATTTTTATCATTTTGTATTACAGGAAAAGCTGAGGACATTCTAATTCATATCTCTTTAGATACCTTAAAATGTTTCTCTTATCAGTACTGATTTTAGAGGATTAGGATTTTTTAAATAGGTGCTTTCCATTTATCTCTTGAATGCCTCAGGGTATAAAATTGTACTTATCTCTTTTTTAAAATGTAAGCTTACAACATGATGAATTTTGACAGATGTTATAATTATGTGACCATCACAACAATCACATTATGCATTTCTATCACTTTAAGAAGTCCCACTTTGGTTAGTCTCTCTTCTCCACCTAGGTAGTCACTAATCTGCCTTCTTTCACTGTGGTTTGCCTTTGCTAGAATTTTATTAATTAGGAATCATATCTCCCTGTGTTTTTTTTTTTCACTTAACATAATACTTTGTACATTCATTACTACCATTGTCTGTATCAGCAGTTTGTTCATTTTTATTGCCATTTAGTTTTCTATGTGGTTATATAATTTTTAACCCTTTCAGTAGTTTATGAAAACTTGGATCATTTCCAATTTTAGCTCTTAAAATTTTTTGCTTTCCTAAAGGCTAGAACATATAGAAGCCTGTGCCCTGAGTGTGTCTATGTTCTAGAGTAGAAGCCATGTTTCTCCTAAGGGCTTTCCTTTCCCACTCACACTCCTGTCAAACTCAGAACATTCTGACACCAGATAAGGGGTTTTCCTCCACATCAGATAGTTCTCCTTTATACCACTATCTAGAGTTAGTGTCAGATCAGACAACTTAAGAGCTAAGTCCCACAACACTACTACTCTACTCCCACTTCAGATGTCAATCTTCAGTCTCAGGTTGTCAAACATACTTTTCACTAAGTGGCTGTAAATCAGAGTTCCCAGGACCCCTTCTCAGATTCTGTTAATATTTTAGAGGCAGCTTACTGAAATTAGGAAGAACAATTTACTTACTGTTTAGAGGGTCAGTATAAAAGTGAATCATACTTGGGCCCTGAAAGCTGGACCACACGGTGCCTTGTCTCAGTGAGGAAAAAATTCAGTGTTGAGGCCAGAGTTAGTTAGAAAAAAAGTTTATTGTCAGATAAAAAGGACAGGAAAGCTCTCTGAGCAGAGAAGGTTCCTGAGGCTATAGCTCCTAAGGGGCAGGAAGCATGGATTTATATACTTTTGTTGAAATTAAGGGAGTTAGTTGGGGGGGGGGGGGCGGGGAGAACATTAGTACTCTGAATTGTGTTTGTTGGGCAGGCTCTCACCTAGATGGTTCTGACCATCCGTAGAGTCCAGGAGTCAGGGTCTCATTGGCTGGAGGGTCTCTTTCCTAGAATGTGGATATGGGGCTGCCCTTGGTTCAAGCAGGTGTTGCTCTATGGTGTGGGGCAACCTACAGAATGTAACATATTTCAGAATGCTATCTTAAGGCCAGGGCCCTAATACTCTAAACTGACTGCTCATCTTACTCCTTCAAAAGGATGTATAATGGTTACAAATAAACATCCAGATGAAAGAGATGCATGGTGACAGTATGTGGGGAGATGTGTGGACCTTCTATGTCTCTCTGACCTACACCTCTCCTAGCACTTTGTTCATAAACCAAGAGGCTTCCTAAACCCACACTTGGAGCATTTTTATAGAAGCTTCATGACATAAGCATGATTGATCATTAGCTCCATTTCTAATCCCTTTCCAGAGACTGGGAAGTAGGGCTGTAAGTTCCAAACTTCTAGTTCTGTGCTTGAAATTAAACAGAGTCATGAAATCTTGTATTCATTTGGTCTCATTAACTAAATAGCTATATAGTTTTTAGAACCTCAGTTTCCTTTGCTGTAAAAAGGATTTAGATAAGTCCTTTCAGATCTAAGCTGTGATAGTTTTCTATCACACATTTCTGGATGTACAGAAGGTGATGTCAGAATCCACAGAAAGTTAAAATTAGCTTCTGGGAATTTAGCATGTCATCTTAACATGACAAACTATTAATATTAATGATGTAAAAACTCTTAAGGAGAATTTGATAGCCTATTAGGACAATCATCAAAGGACATGAACAGAAAATTAACAAAAGAAAAATAGTGGCATGGATTTTTTCATAATGCTAATGGTTAAGGATGTGGAAAAAAACAACTTTTGTTTACTTCTGGGGGCAGTATAAATTGTTATCAATTTTTCTGATAGAGTAAAAAAAATTATGAATATCTATTAATATAGAATTATGCCTGTATTTTTAAGTGAAAAACGATAAGCTTGAGGGAGAGGTAAAAACATGCTCATAATACATACTTATGTATGTGTATGTACACTAAAGAAAACTAGTCTACTAGATACTAAAATTTTAATGATTACTGGTTGATGATTTTATGGATTATTTTTTGATCTTACGCCTTTGTAAATTTTTGTGGCGAGGATTAATTACTTGTATTAGTTTTAGTTTAGAGCACAATGGACTACAGTGGAGGAATATGGGTGTTTTGTGGTGGGAGAACTAAAAGAGAAGAGAAACCCTATATTGTGAAAAAATTTACAAGGATATAAACTAAGAGTACCAAACTGAAAAAAAGGTTGCTTTAAATAAAAAAAAAAAGAAAAAGAGAAGAGAAACCCTATATTGTGAAAAAATTTACAAGGATATAAACTAAGAGTACCAAACTGAAAAAAAGGTTGCTTTAAATAAAAAAAAAAAGAAAAAGAGAAGAGAAACCCTATATTGTGAAAAAATTTACAAGGATATAAACTAAGAGTACCAAACTGAAAAAAAGGTTGCTTTAAATAAAAAAAAAAAGAAAAAGAAGTCCCCTTTTCATCCCTTTTACTCCAGTCTCATTTCCTTTACCCTAAGGCTATCACTGTTTGACATATCTTTCCAGAAAGTCTATGCTGATGTAAACTTTTTTAAAAAATGTATCATAGTATATAAATTTTGTTTTTTACTTATTTTCTTTCCTTTTTTTTTTTTTTGGTGGGAGTTTTATTTTACATCCTCTACAAGTAACCCATTTACATCCTCTACAAGCTTCCTCATTGTTTAGAAGCAAAAATAACCTTATTTGCATATATATGCAAGTATATCAACAAGATGAATTCCTAGAAAGCTAATTCCAGGTCAAAAGAGAGGTGCATTTAAAATTTCAATACATATAATTTATGGTTCTTAGAAATAAGGAAAAAAGTTACAGCTTTCTTTCACGCTCTGTATCTAATTCATCAGCAAATCCTGTTGATACCTTCACAATCTATTCAGAATCTTGCCTCTTCTTACCATCTTCACCCTGGCTCAAGCTATCTCCTCTAGCCGTTTATTGGTCTCCCTGCTTTAACTGTTTCCACTTTACACAAAGAAACCATAATAATCCTTTCAGAATGTTAGATTATATCATTGCTCTGCTCCAAATCCAACCTGAGCAAAAGCTGAAATCCTGGTGGTTGTCTTACAAGGTGTGATCAGCATCTCTCCTCTCCAGTTACCTTTCTAACCTCCCTGGCTCTGTATCCACCCCATTAGGGCCACATTGGCCTCATTGCTTTATCTTAGTTATGCCACGCTTATTTCCCACTTCAGTGCCCTTT